TCACCCGTTTTTGGCGGCGACTGAGATGGTCCCAGACGTTCAGTTTCATGTGAACTGAATCATTTTTCAATGAACTTCGATCTCCTTTAACTGAATATACATTTTGACACCTCTTCTCAAGGACGCTCTGTAATCAGAAGAATGTTTCACTAACCCTCTGATGCGTAATGATGAGTACAGGGTGTATGTAAATTATCTTTAAAACTTTACTCGTGAAATAATACAATTTTCAAACCGTCTCTACTTCGTATTTGGGAATCAGCCGATGACCAGCGCTCTCGAATTTGACTTAAGGTATTTATTCTCACTCCTACCAACAAAACGAAAGAATAATTCCCTACGTTATGTAAAGACTGTCTCCTTTCCTACCCATCACAGTTCATCGTTCTCTGCTAATTTTTTTAACTCGAAGCTACAGGCTACAAGGATATTGCAGCCCCGAAAACATTCATCTTGAGTTAATTTCTTAGACGAGGTGGCTTAACGTGGTCCTAGTTTCTGATACACAGGTCGTATTAGTTAGCCGCGCGTCACGTCCTTAGCTGACAATGTGAAATGGATTGAGCGGGTTCAGTGTGACATGCGCGTTAGACGGGAGTTTGTGAAACCGACAGCGGTCTGCATTTCATTAACTACGCACTGCCAAGTCCTCCTCAGAATATGACATAACGGGCTGTAGAAACGAAATCCATCCAAGTAAGTGTGAATGGATGATAGCCTATTTGCCGGCCCGACCTAGTGAATCCCAGAAATAGCCTTCGAGCCTAGCTGTCCTAGGAAATAACCCCAGGCACGCAGGAGTAGCTTAGCGTGGGGTCTCTGCCCGGGGTCCAGTACCAGTGGAATGTTACTTTGTTGTTGCAACCAGTCTCAATAACATAAGGATTGTTATTGTGTCGTATTGTTTGATTTTCGGTGATGAGTCTAGACGATTGACGTGGCTAGAAGGGTGACCGTGGACGGGGTTAAATGTCGAGAAAAACCTCGCGTGTGACACAAAACTCTCCCCCCCCCCCCCCCCCCTGCGTGCTGACGTCACGTACGTGTACGATGCCGTGTAATTTAAGTATATAAGTCGCCTTAAGTTTTATTACAGTCGAAGTATGTTCAAGAGTAGATATGAACTACACAAAGTAAAATTACTCGGTACTTTTTCTCTGGCTTTCGTTAAATGTGAAAGATATCAAGATATTTTTAAACGGGACCCTCTGAAACCTGAGAGAGAGAGAGAGAGAGAGAGAGAGAGAAAATGTTGGAGGAAAACCGAGAGACGATTTATTTCTGTGGGGATGAAAGAACGTCTATAGTTGAAAGGTTCCCAGGTAATGCCCACTCGTCTTTCTGACATGGCTGGAATAAGGTTGAAGCGTTGTTAGTGAATGTGGAAGCTATGATTTGGAAAGTCAAGTAATGTCTCGGCCTTCGCAGTGAAGAGTCAAGCTGTTTTAAACGATATTTAAGAATCCAGTCCGTACCGCAAAGAAAACACCACACTTCACCATTACAAAGATCGAATGGTTAACCCTTCGACAGTCGAAGCTCGTCTAAATATTATTTAAGAATTCAGTCCGTACCGCAAAGAAAACACCACACTTCACCATTACAAAGATCGAATGGTTAACCCTTCGACAGTCGAAGCTCGTATAAATTATATTTAAGAATTCGGTCGAATTATGTCGAATATGATGAAGTGTAACTGGAATTATTAATGGCGTAATTAGTTGAAGTAACAAAAGAAATCAGTATTTTTGAGGCAGTTGGTGAGCAATTTTGGTCCGATGATCTTGATCTCCTCGGTTTTGGTCGCCGTTTAGACTCTTCAACAGTGAGTGTGGAGACGGTATGTTTTTTTCCGAAACTTTGGTAACTACTGGCGAAGGTACATGGCGCCAAATCCCAGAACACCTATGCCATAATTTTTAACGCTGTAAAACCCCCCCCCCCCCAAACTCTCAAGTTTGTTTTGTTATGCGGGGGAGAAATTGCCCGTTCGGGTAGGAACATATAATTAGCACATCCACGTGCTAATTTTATTAATCATTCTCTCAAAGAATCTTCGATGTGAGTATATGTGTTAAAATTATGTTATATTCTTTTCGTGAATCTTGTATTAAATTAATAGGATTATAGCACTAAATTATATCATCAGTGGCATAGTTTTTGTTTAAATGTAAATTTTCCGAGGTGGAATATCGGATGTGGTTCGCGCCGTGTGTTGAAGAAATTTGTTTTCTTAGAAAGTGTAATTACAAAGGAAGTATTTGGTGGTGAGCGGATGAGATCAGAGTCCTTCTTGAATCTTGCAGTTGCCCAGCTAGTGAATAAATTCCCATCACTTGTTCCTGCCTCGAGTCACTTTCTCGTAATATTAATTTTAATATTATCCTCCCATATTCCAAGCGGTTCTTTCATAGAGTTTTCTTGTCAAATTTTGTACTCATTTCTCGTATCCCCATGTGTGCTGTGTCCTGCGCCCATATCGTCGTCTGTGATTTGATAATCTTGATGGTACTTTTGGAACTGTACAATTTATGAAGGTCGGTGCTGTGGATTTGCCTTCCTTTCTCTCAGTATTCGACCTCTCTCGTTTGTCCGTTCGTAACAAAGTGTGGAGGGGTTTGTTTCGTGAGTATTACCGAACTTGGGGGACCACGGCTTGTAATGCGGAGGTTACGTAACTAGAGAGAGGTTGCCAGGGTGTTTGTGGCGGCGAGACTGCGTGGGGCCTGATGTTGGACCGGTCGTTTGCAGTTTGCCAATAGCCTGGCCGTCTTGCTTGCTATCAAAATAAACTTCATTTTGCGCATTTGTTTGTCTGAGGGACAGGAATCATGCTGGTGAAGTTATATTCAGATTCTGTCACTTGCTATGTCTTGGCGCTGCTTCGCAGTTCGAGACTTGGCATTGTCTTTTGCCCTGATACAGACAGATGATAAAGATTCCATGGGAGAAGCTTTGTAGTCTCTGCCGTGAGACATCGCGGGTGACCTCCGCGTGGAATTGTAGGTAGAATCAGGCGTGGAGGTTTTTTTCCAAAACCCGTCATGACGGAAATAAAGAATGCGTGTGAATTATTCAGTCAGTAAAGGTAACATGAAACCTCTTGAAGCGGTCAATATTTGCCCAGATCCTATTCATTTAGTATGTACTTTGCCTTGAATGGGGGATCAGCCCATTACATCGCAGAGGCGTTTAAACTACAGGACTGGAACAGAAGGGCACACACCCTATCCAGTCGGATAAGCACATTCTGTCTGTCTCTGGGACAATATGATCTTGTGTTCCAACAGACTGTCTTTTGACTCATGAGGAGTCTGTGCCTCTGATACCTCTGACTTAGTTTACACTTAGCAACTATCAAAAACGCCTAGCTAAAAGAATTAACATTGTGCATCTTTTGATCCATATGATTTTAATCTTTTAAGCGCAGTGGTAACCATACGTACCACCTGATTCAACAGTCAGCAACTCTTAGAGGCGTTGTGTTTTCTTCGCGGTACGGACTGGATTCTTAAATGCTTTTAAACGAGCTTCGGCTTCGAAGGGTTAATTAATTATCAGAATAAAAATCTATTATTTCCTTAAACAGCGTTAACCAGTTGTTCTTTGTAATGGTGAGGCGTTGTGTTTTCTTCGCGGTACGGACTGGATTCTTAAATGCAATTTAGACGAGCCTCGGCTTCCAATTTACCCCCCTCCCCTCAGTAGGAACTTCTAAATTATGTCCTAAACTTCCAAATTAATAGTCTCAGCTTTCGCTAATACAAAATTTCAAAATTCCGTCTTTTACGCCAATCATCACACTAACGCCTTCACTCTTACTTTATCCTTAACAGAAGGACGAGCGGGCATTGCCTGGGGACCTTCTAGCTATAAGATGCTCTTTCTTCCCCCCAGATATCGAAGTGTCTCTCACTTCTCCCCCACCAATTTCCTCTTTCTCTCTCTCTCTCTCTTCAGCTATCGAAGGGTTAACCATTCGATCTTCGTAATGGTGAGGTGTAGTGTTTTCTTCGCGGTACGGACTGAATTCTTAAATAATATTTCGACGAGCTTCGGCTTTAAAGGGTTAATGTAATTTCCGCATGATTTTGATTTATTACTGACTTTCTAAATATTTTAACTTTCGCTAAATCTCGTAGGGTTTATTTGTTATGGGGGGAGGGTACTACTTTCTAACCGCATGATACACAACATTGATTGGTAGGGCCTGTTTTATTTTTCCATGCGTATCATATCGATTCACTTTATAATCATATTAAACAGCTCGTTGCCATACAGACAATTATGTAGCTGAGTGACCGTAATAATCATGGCATGATATCGGTTTGAGAGATTATTTGCGTAAAAGTTCCGAGCTTTGCTGTTCATTTCTCTTACATTTTGATAAACAGGGTAACGTCGGCTTTTTTTTTGGGGGGGGGGGGTTAGTCGCATCGAATGTTGACACTTTTGAAACGTTTCGGCACACATTTCAGTTGCCGTCTTCATGGTGAAGATGTACATTAGACACGGCCCACCCATAAGCAAGTTTATTTTTTTTCCGTAATTATTTCTACGATAATGCACAAGGTTCTTATTAATATAGACTGTTCCTTTATTTTGAAATCGTAGATCTTTGTCGTCCTGGGATTCGAACCACGAATTTGATTATCAAGGATGAGGGTCTTAGACACTACACAACATACATACAGGCTTGTTTTACAAGAATGTAGTGAAAATTATTCATAGTTAATATTTGCGTAGGAATATTTGTTATAACCTATCCTTTTATTTACGAACGCATTTCATTCAATGAAAAACCTCTCGTGAAATGAAAATGAAATTAAAAATGACCCATTATCCCCCCCCACATGTTTTAAAATACCACGCAGTTGTAAAAATAAAAACAATTTTACTTTTCTGCCATAGTTTTTACCAAACTGACTTTTTAAATCAAACGTTTACATTGCCTAGCAGTTTATGTAAATAAACATCAGAAGTTGACGTAAACAAAGAATAAACAATTTTGTGTATCAAAAACTTCATTACTGAAAGTGTAATAATCGTAAAGGATCGGTGATAAATTAATTGGTTCTTCGCTGTAGCGAAAATCATTATAAATCAGGAGATAGGTGTGTTTCTCTATATTCAGAGCTTTGCTGACTATTGCCATGGTTACGGTATGAGGTAATCCTTGCAGTTCGGCGCCGAGATACACCAGTCAGAGGCGGTGGTGTGAAGTCGAAGCTGCTGCTGGTATAGCTCGCCTAGCCGACTGTCCTAGGCGATGCACAATCGTGTAAGAGCTGCAGCCTTATCGATTGGTTTGACCCAGTGACTTCCTCACACACCGACCCGATGTACGACGTACTACAGTCGATTCCTTTGTTCGACGGGAGTTCAGCAAAGCTCGTAAGAGGATACGGTAGAATTTCAAATGTCTTATGCATGAAGGCAAGCGTCACTTATATCTGTCATTGCTGGTTTCGTTTGGTGAAAAAATTCAGGTTCTGAAGGCGACAGATATGAAGACGAATGTCTAATGGGATATTTCGATGTGTATTCTAGTCATCGCGTTGAAGATGGATGCAGTGACGTATCTCTTGCATCAGAATAACCACGTACAAACTGAGAAGTGAGATCTGTACAAAAATGTTAAGAAGTAGATGGATATTTGCTTAAGTCTGTCGAGTCGACGATGAATGACGATGATAATTAACAAATTCTTTAAAGGTTCATGAGATGATAAAGTTGCGTCATATTGTGATAAATATATATTTGTTTAAATCTTGTCAAGTCTAATCACAATAAAATTCCTAATAAAAATATTAAAATATTACCATAATTAACATTTAAATATTTAAAATATATTAAATGAT